GTGGCAGACCTCTCCAGGCCTGCCCACTGTTCCCCTCAGCGGTGTATTTCAGTGGATTTGCCTGTTCTGCTCCCCTCTCTGTCTCTGGTGAACCCTCCCACCCCCCACACTGTGGTTTGTACCCCAGTTCTAAATGTATGAATAAATAAATTTTTAAAAGATAAAAATAACAGGGGTGATTTGGTGATGGGAAACCCGTGGGGATTACAATTGAGATGAAAAAAAAATGTGCAAAATGATGTAAAAATAAACTTTAAAAAAAAAGATAAAAATAAAAATAAATAAATTCTAGTAACTGCACCTCTTTTGAAACTAGTTATGCCTAATGCGTCCTCCTGAATAATACCACCATCTTAATTTATGTCTTGAAATTTTAGTAGTCTCTTTTACTTAATCTTGGAATTTCTACCATAAATTTAAATTTCCTGCAACTTTCTAAAAGAAGAATGCCAAGGTTCTTCCCTGCTGATTTTGGATAGATTCAAGAAAATGCCATGGAGAAAAGCATGTTTTCTCACTTTACAACAGTAACTACCTTTCATGCCAAGTTATAATCTTACATCTAAAGGGTTAGGACAGATTATTACATCTTGGGGACAGATGTCATGTGCCTTCCCATTCATAAATCATTCATTAACTATATTACTAACCACTTGCCTCAACTGCAGTTGCATTTTTAGTTTCTTCTTCTACTTGTTTGGAATCCACTTCTGACATGGGGTGTATCAGTTATCTAGATTGTGTAACAAATCACTGTAAAACTCAGTGCCCTGAAACAACATCTATTATCTTAAGAGTTATTTCTCTTGGAACTCATGTGGGGTTTAATGTGCTCTGGCTTGAGGTCATTCCAAGACTGTGGTCAAGGAGTTGGCTAGACAACAGGTCACCCTTCAAGCAGGGCAGATCAGGTCAGTGCTCAATCCAATAGCAGTTGGCTGACCTCAGATTTTGACTAGGTATGGACTGAAGACACCAGCACATTGCTACATGAGTTTCTATGTGGGGATGCACCCACTATCTCCAAGAGGAAAGGCATGAGAAGTGGAAGAAGAAGGTAAATGCTATGGTCTGAATGGCTGGGCCTCTCCTCAAAGTCATGTGATGAAACACACCCACCTGAGGTGGTGGTATTAAGGGAGGTGCCCATGGGAGTGATTACCTCTTGAGGGTGGTACTGCAGCCATGGATCACTATCCTCTTAAAAAGCTCCCTTGCCTCACTGCTGGTGGGAATGCAAACTAGTACAACCACTATGGAAAACTGTTTGGAGTTCCTCAAACTGCTAATCATAGAGCTTCCCTACGACCCAGCAATCCCACTCCTAGGTACCTACCCAAAAGACACAAAAACACTGATTGAAAAAGATACCCCATGGTTTTTGCTGCTTTATTTACAATTGGAAAAACATGGAAGCAGCCCAAATGCCCAAAAGTAGATGACTGGATAAAAAAGATGTGGCACATATATACAATGGAGTGTTACTCAATAACCAAAAAAGAGAAACACATGTCTTTTGCAGCAACTTGGATGGAGCTGGAAAAGATCATGCTTAGTGAGATAAGCCAGAAAGAGAAAGAAAAA